CCCCACCCAAAAGAAAAGAGAAAGAAAGAGAGAGAGAGGAAGGGAGAGAGAGAGAGAGAGAGAGAGAGAGAGAGAGAAAATGTCCCCCGTATGCTAATAGCCCATAAAAGACACTGAGTATTCCCAGCAGGAAACACACATAAAGATGATTTCACTGTGCTGCTGCGTGGGGCTAAAAATAAAAACGGTGAAATTTGTTTCTGAAGACGACGTCCACAAACCGATCATATCTGTCATATAGGGCCCAAATGATAATCTTTTCGGATAAATTTGTGTAAGTATATTTGGGGGATCTGTAAATGGAGAGCCTTCAAAGCAGCTTTCCGTCTGAGCGAGTTCACCCCAAGAGCAGGCCGCATGACGCTGAAAGAAGTTTCCAAATAACCTAAAACATCAGATATCATGAGACCTTCAGAATAACATATAGTACTAATTATAACAGAAGAAAATCTGATATGAGTCGCAACAAATATTTAAATTCCGTCTGGAATTAAATTATCTTTTTTAATTGAATTGAATAGAATTGATATAAAGATTTGCGAAAATGTTTTTCTAATTAGCTTACTCTGAAAAACAAAGTTATTTTTGTGCAATACAACTGGACATCAACATGAACATTTCTTAAACAACTAATATTTAACATTCTTAATGCACCTCGTGTCACAGTAGAAAAACTCAGGGATTAGCACAAGAACAAACAGCAGAAAAATGACTCATTCAGGACTTAATTACTCGCATCACTTCTAGAAATCTGTCACTACATCAGCTTCATCTACTCTGAAAGGTCTAAAAAAAAAAAAAAAAAAAAGGAAAATAGACGCCGCAGATTCCAGATGAGGGCAAACTCTGAAGGATGAACGCATGTGAGAGTGCTTCTGTCTGTGTGTGCTCGCAGTGGAGTAACACTGTGGCTATTTGAAGCGTGAAAAAAAATAAAATAAAAACGCCTCGGAGCTGTGAATGTTGCTCAAGCAGAAAGACAAGATTGAGGGAGGGGAGGATGGAAGAATGAGAGAAAGAGGAACGAGGAGGAAAGGTCAAAGACAGATTCCAGAGAAGTTAGAGAGGATCAATAAAGAGCATAAAACACATATCTGAGTTCATTTTTTTTATGCTGTAATCGTGAAAATGTTACTTTGTTTTTATGATTTATCGAAGATGTGTAGTAATGCACAACAACATCCTCTCTGTAAATTAGGGATTTAGCCTAAAGATGTAAACGTCTACGATGCCAGGCTAATCAGATTCACTGGAACTGAAGGGATGTATGAACTCCAAACAACTAAATGCTGAATCACACTGAATCACAAGGTTATGAAAACTTGTGCAACAAAGTTATTTCAACTTTTTCCTAAAAGGAATTTGTTTTTCAAGTGCAGAATAAATATCACATTACTAGTGTTTGACATAATGAACACCTAAAATATATTTCAAATTGTAGACTGTAAGACTGTCTTACAGAAGCCAAACAAATGTCAAAAATGTTGTTTTGGCCGAATTAGGATATTCTTTTTCGGATAAATGTCAGTTTGTTAAAGCAAGTGACGTATTAAGTTTACCAACCAACCAAATCAAATTTTAGAGAACGATTAAGTTCTGTTAAGTTCTCAATTGGACGGGTGAAGTGACTGGAAAGAGTCGACCATGTTTTATTGAGAGTTCGCAGAGAAAGACTCTGTTACGAGTAGGGCTGTAGTGATACAATAATCTCACGATACGATACAATACGCGATATTCTGCCCACGATATGATATATATTGCGATATTCAGCAAACGATACAATTCAATACACTTTTGCGATTTTTCTGAAAGATTTTAGAGGGACAGAGTGATTTTGGTGACATTTTGTGACTGTTATAGAGTTGGATTGAATTAATTTAACTGAAAACTGATTAAAAGCACCAACTAAATAATACCTCGCTCTGGTTGGACATGGACACAGACTTAAAGCAGCTGGACAAAATGAATCAAAGAAGTGGTGAGAAAACATGTTTCTTTTAATTGAAACAGTACAAACTGTAGCTTACATGCATTTGTAAAGTAAATAAAATGCACCAAGTAGCCTGCTCTGAATAGTTTGATACTTTTTTAACCTTGACACTTAAAATCTGAAGGAATCACTCTAAGCCTGATGACCTAATCAAACTCCCGGCGAAGCAAGCAGTGAGTGAGCAAGGTGACAGTTGGATGTTACGATACTTGCAGATGAATATCAATTTTTTTTCTAGGAAAGAAAATATCGATATATATCGCAATATCGATATTATTACACAGCCCTAGTTACGACCAGTCTAGCGGTGGCCAGGTCGCAGCCAATAAGACGTTTCCATCGTCTTCTGGAAAGCCAATCAGGGACGGGTACCTGCACACTCATGTTTGTATAATTAATCTTACGACGCCAGTCGTAACAGACTCATTCACTAATCCAACTTGAAATAGCTGAGCTGCTTGCAATAAAGTCAGTACAATATTTATCCACTGTGGCACTTTGTTTTAGGTTGTAAATGTACTTTTACAAAAAAGTAAAACCTAAAAACCACCTAAATTGTGGCTATGGCTTCTATATCCTCCAATATTGTGCGCACATCGACTAAAACGTTTCCCCAAAATTCTTCAGTTACATTTTCAAGTCTGTTTCTCTTTACTCAACTAGTTTTCTTGCAACAGACACAACCCATTTCCTGTACAATCATACAAAAGTGCCACACATGGTGATCAAATAAACAATACTAAGTCTAAAGATTACCATTTTTTCTCCCAGCACCTCTCAGAAACTTTATGTTTTTGTCATTCCACACTTATCCATAAAGGTTTAAGTGTTGTCTTTTTTTTTCCAACACCATGGCCATCTTCAAACATGTTCTGCTGGGATTACAGACTGAAAATCACACACACACACACACACACACACACACACACACATGCTCAGAAAACACAAAACCGAGGGTGTAATTGTTTCCGAGCTGCTCTTTGATGGCTGAGTCAGTGAACATATCCTCTATAACATCACGATAAGAAGAAAGTCAGTTTAAAGGCAGCAGCTGTTTCCCTTTCATCCTCTCCCTCCTCTTCTTCTTCTTTCTGCGTCTTCCCATCCACCCACTGCTTTCACGATGGTGCACTAAGCCAGGGAAGATAGGGCAAATCCCTCCTCTGAGCAGAGCAGGCAGGCAGCAAAGACAGAGAGAAAGCAAAATAAATTAAAAAAAAAGACCGAGGAAGAGAGCTGAGAGCAGAACACACTTCTCAAATCTGTCCTTTCTATCCCTTCATTTATCTCAATCCAGCCAACCAGCTTGCCGTTAGCGGCTGCATGCTTTGTTGTCATGTGTATGTATATGGTGTCTCCCCCTCCACCACCAACCTGGTGATGTAAGTAAAGCTCTGACTCATACAGTTCTTGCTTCTTTCTTTATGATTTTAAGCTCAAACATACGCTTAATATGAATATAGTTAGTAACTACACCCAAATTTACGGATATNAGACACGATGTGAGGAAGAGAGACGGATTCACTGCAGCACGGATGAATCTCACATCGGATTTTGGACTCGTCGGCTGAAAAACAAACATATATATATATATATATATATATATATATATATAATATATATATATATATTCACTATTAATCATTATTTATTTGTGCCATTATTAATCTTTATTGATTAATAATGGCACAATATATAAATATATATTGATATTACTAAATAATTTATTAAATAAATTATGAACGGCTGTGTGGTTTGTAAAATGCTCATCATACATCAATATCAGAATATTCCATTCCTATTCTATGGTTTTCCCCACTAAGCATATTTAAATATGCTGAACTATGTATCAATACAATTAAAAAATACTTTAAAAATACAATTGTTTATAAATGTAGTTTTGACAGATGTTTGAATATGGTTTCCAGTAACAAAAAAGCGATTAAATGCGCTGATATGTCATTGTGCCTGCTAGACATATAACGCTGAGTGGAGTGGTCGACCCTTCCAAGATGGCCACCCTAAATCTCGTCAGCGACAATAGGCGAGAGCGGTCCATGAGGCGTCTATTCTTGTATTATGTCTATGGCTAAAAAACAATCTTTGAAAATACAATATGATTAATTTTTTATTTGACAGGACCCTTGTGGAGGTTCCCCCACCTTTTCCTCAGTTTTAAGGACTGGCTGACAGAAGGGGGTTGGCTGAAAGGAAAACCAGGAAGTGGAACAGTCCATCAGGCTGCTGGAAGCAGGGGACTTGATGTGAAAAAATCTGCCTCTCTCCACTAATGGCATAATTGCTAAAACCTTTTTGGTGTTAGGTTATTTTGGTTTTTATAGTGGTGTTTAAGTCAAAATGTTTTAGTTTAAATTAATCATTTATGTTTATACATTATTTGTCTTTGTCTCCTTCCCTACCCCTCCTCGTTTGTGTAGGCTAGCCTGTTTGTATAAATTCCCCTGTGTGTTCATTGTGTGAGGTCAGTTTTTGGTTTGTTATCTTGAGTTATGTTTGCCTTAGTTGATTTCTTTTGGGCCCATTTTGTTATATTTTTTAGATTTGTTGTTGAAACCTTTTGTTAAGATTTTTTTTTTTTGGAAAAAATAAACAGAAGATATTTTTTTTATATATGCCTTTGTCCTTGTCCTTGACTGGTCGGACTATCACAACCCCGATTTTTTAAAAATTTTATTTCTATGAACAAAATATAAATAATTAAATTGTGGAGGACCCCCTGCTGGTCAGGGCCCCTAGAATTGTTATCACTTTTCACCTCTTTACTGCCCCCTGAGTCGTTAGTCATAAAAATCATGAATTTTTCTTTAATCCTTTTCCATCCTTGATTTGGACCTTAGCCCAGAGTTATTAGGCTGGCACGAACGTATTGAGTTGAGGAGATTTAAAAGCCATGTCTTTAGGGAGATCAATATGGATTTATACTGATTTTGTTAGATCTGGTTGATCTCCTGTTCTGGTTTTTCTCACTACTGTCAGTAATGACCCGTGTGAAGCTGTCAATTGAGTTATAGTGGCAGTTATGAAAAGATCTCTTCAATGTAAACTGTTGACTTATTTAGTTCCACAGCTCTAAATAAAGCTGACTTTGAAGTAGTGATTTAAAATGATAATCTTTATCAGAGTTTTATGTTACAATTTAAATACCTCTGACACTATCTTAAGAGGGAATTGGTGGGACGAATCGTCTTGAGTAACCAAGAAAACGGAGTTAAAGTCATCAATCCAATTTATTAAAGCAAAAATAATGCATAGAAACAACAGAAAAATAGTTTATCTTTTCAGTGCTATCATGAGACCTTAAGGGAAAAATTGCAGAGTGGCCCAGACAGTAAAATTCCACTCCTTTTACTCATCTACCTAAACTACACCCTAAAGATGGCTTTCCCCTGTGACATTATTTTCATAACCTTATGATTGATAGATAGTCAGGGACCACCAAGTTCCCAAAGAACGGAGAAAATATTTTTCCCCTAAAAAAATCAAAAGTGATGCCATAGAAGGCTAGATAATGGTGTTTCTGGCTGCATGTGTCCTCTTGCAACTAAGAATTAATTCATGAAGATTTACAGTGGAAACAAGCTGATGATTGGCTGTGGCTCCCAGCGTCGTTTCCTTGTTTCAAGATTGTGAGATTGGTTCTTAGCACAGGTATCATTGTGCAGTGATACTTGACAAAGTACCATGTATCATACTAATGGGGGATTAACAAACAAACAGTCCTAAGTCAGTGTGGACCAAGTAAGATCACCATGTACAAGATAAAAACATCAAAATATCATTGTTAAACAAATGAAATGAAGAAACTGGAATGTGAATTGCAATGGGCTTTTTTCGTTTTATTCTTGAAGAATTTCCAGTTATGATGCTTTAAGAGCTGGGGATGGAACAGCATTGTACGTGTTGCTGTCAAGCTCAAAGCAGACAAGAGGAGGACAGGGCAGGACAGACCCCTATTTTCTGAGAACACAAAGAAAGGAAAGAGGATATGACTACTGAGCTATTATGGTAGCATTAACAGGTCCAGGAAAAGGTAGATGGAGTTACAGCCACAAAAAGAAAGCCACAGCAGGCCACAAAGACATGCACCACAGAGTCTGTCAGTGTTGAAACTGGCAACATGGGGTTAAAGTACTCTGCACTGCTTTTTTACAGCACAGCCTCCTGCCAAACAATTAGCAGGTGAGGTGGGTCCTTCCTTACTGACTTGTGTGTTGAGGCTTGAGAGTTTGTGTTTAATTAGGCACACAGTTTAGTGTTTAATTGAAAAAAAAGGCACCTTGTTTTACTTTTGAGGGGTATTACTATAACCCTCAATTTGCTGGAGGGAATGTTTGCCACGATAAAAATGAACTCCAAAGAAGGCTGGTGAGGGATTCATGCCAGAAAACTAGAGAAATTCTTAAAAACAAGTTGACTTTAGGTGCTTTTTTTGGAGTTGCTAATGAATATTGAAGAAGATGAAAACAAATCTTATAGGGATGATGTTCCTACAAGAGAGGTGTTAAAAATATATCATGCAGTCAACGATAACAACTCAGAGACATTCTGATTAGCTCCAATGTCTTCAGAAGATGGAGGCACCACAAAACAACACACAATGTCATCCAAAGAGTGAAGGGAATAATGCCATGGTCTCATAAAACACTTGCCATATTTTGTAAAAGATCCAAGGAAGAGATCATACACCTTGATGCAATTGGATGTGTCATTTAGAAACATAGTATAGAAGAAAAGCTCATATGTTTATGCATGGAAACTGATTTTCTCATTCAGTTCCCTTTCAGCTGTCAACACAATCGAAACATTGATTCTCTCCTGGCCCTGTCATGGGGTGGTTTGGTGGTGGTGAAGAGAGGACGCAGGCAGACCCAGATGAAGATGATAATGATGAATTTAATGATGAAAACCAAGGAACAGAACAACAGGGAACGGCACAAGGAACCAACGAAACACGAACACACAACGAGGAACAAATGAAGAACATAGACAACAGGTGGGACTAAATACACAGGGGGTAATCAAGGGAACGAGACACACCTGGGAACAATCAAGGGCTAACAGGACAACACAGAGACTCAGGGAAACAGGACTAAACACAGAAAATCTCAAAACAATAATACAGAAAAACACGGATCATGACAGGCCCTTGGAGTTTCTGGGCCATCTGGGTCATCAAGTTGTTCTGGAGGCTGAATCAGCACTCTGCCTCTTCAGCCAAAGTTTTAAAATCGGGAAACCTTTCTTTAAGTGAAGTGATCAAAAATCGGGAACACTCTGAATAAGAGGTTTCTTGATCCCCAAAGCCTTTCTTCATTAGAAAGAAAATTCAGCAGCACTCGTCTGTGACTCTTCAACATGCTGTCAGCTCCCGGATACTGAGAGGCATTCGAGTATGGTGCCTGAGTCAAAGATGATGCTCTGGTGATATTTATATTTTTGTATTGATTTAGCTATCCTTGTGATGTACTCTGTGTAAAGTTGTAAATGTCTGCCTGTCTGCACCAAGTGGTGAGGTGTGTGAATTGCTGTCTATAAAGTGACTGATGGTCTTCAAATTTTAAAAACAAACTGGTCAATTTGTGTCTCTGTGTTAGACCTGGACAGGTAAACTGTCATGAGTCTGTTCTGCCTTATGACCTTCAACTGCCTGAAAAAAGCTTCAGCCTTATTTCACCCCGAGCAGTAATATTCTCTTTTCCATGCCTATTTAGCGTCATACTTACGTCATGCATCATGCTTACTTCTAATATCCTAGACTTCTATAACTGCATCAAGCTTAGAGTGAAAGAAAAAAGCTTCTGAAGCTGTGGGTCAATCATATTACATGTGCACCCCTGCTGGTCTGGAGCAAAAGCACAGAGCTAACTGTGTTCCTTTTTTAAACCTTATTAGCATTTAGAGAAGATGGGATCCTCCTAGTATTCAGGCCAACACACACACACACACACACACACACACACACACACACACACACACACACACACACACACACACACACACACACATCCTTGAACTTTGCTTTATATTGGTTTCCATTCATTTCATTAACAGCATTTATAACCAACCCAGACATTTTCCCTAACCACCGTCACCCGCAACAAACTTTAACATATTTTATTAGTGTTTTATTTAAGCCAACACAAAGTTAATTATGATTCTAAAGTGAAAAGAAAATGACACAGTTTTCAATATATTTCACAGTGAAACCTAAAAAGTGTGGCATGTGGTCATATTCAGTATGTTGCAGTCAGTATTTGTAGAACCTCCTCAGTGAGAGCTGACAGTATTTGGAGGTATTTCTTTACAGACACTCTACTAAAAAATAGCTCAAGCTCCACCAAACTGAATTGAGAATGTTAGTGAACAGCAAATTTCTCATCCTTAGTGGGATTAAAATCTGGACTTTACTTAGCCATTCTAACACATGAATATGCTATGATCTAATCCAGTATTTCCCAACCCTTGTCCTCAAGGCCCCTGCCCTGCATGTTTCAGATGCCTCCTTTCTGTCATACTCCTGACATAAATAACTGGGTGATTAACAGGCTTTAGCAGAACTAGATGGCATGCAGAGGAGGTCATGCAGTCATTTGAATCAGGTATGCTGGAACAGAGACACATTGAAAACATGTGGGACAGAGGGATTTGAGGACCAGGGTTGTGAACCATTGATCTAAGACACTGTGGTTTAGCTTTGGCTGTTAATGTTTGTTACAATGGATTAGGATCCAGGTGCAGACAGATGAATGAGAAGAAAAGAAGAACTCTGATGAGTACAACGTCTGGACAATTGAACATGGTGAGGATCTGAGGATAAGTGAAGGAAGTGTTGGGGAGGTTATTTGGTGAAAAATGACTAAGTGACTATAGATAAAGGACTTCTGAAGGATCTTGGACGCACTTAATTTGTTTTTGGGGTATCAGAGTAAAAGGGCTAAATTCAAATCCATAGCAGACTTTAAAGGGTTTTATGAAACGTAAAAAGGAAAATCATTTATATTTTTCTTTCCCTTCAGAGTTATGTTCTGTTTTTTTTTGTCTGTCACACAAAATTCAAGTCAAACTGAAAACTGTGGTTGTAATGTGATAAAATGTGAAAAAGTTCAAATGATTTCACTTTATCTGTGTAGCCCTTCTCTCATACATCTATCCAGACATAGAAGCAACAGGCTTATGAGGAGACACGTGGTGGCTCAGTGTTGAACACCTTCAAACACTTCATCACAAAGTGGGGCTGAGGATCGAACCATTGATCTCCCATTGGAAGCCAACCAAACAACTTCCTCTTCAAATAAACCTTCAAAGAGATTCCATAATCAGGTTTAGCAATAACAACGCTATTGCTTTTGCAAAGGTAAAATGATTTGTGTAAATGTTAATTAGGGAACTATACAGCCCTGAAGCAACCCTTGCAGATGAATGAGATGATTAAATGGAGAATAGCAAATGTTCAGGGACAAACTGGAGAATGTTATCTCAATGATTGTGAACGTAATCAAGGTAAACCTAATAACATTTCTAATAACCACTGCAGTGTTTATTTACTTATTGTTTGTTCACACATACAAACATAGGCATAATCATTATGAAAATGAGAGCAGTTTCATGTAGCCCAATTGAATTTTCAATTTGTCTTCTATTATCTTTCACTGAACCTCTGGATGGGTTGGCCCATTGTTCAGAACGGTGCTGCTTGCTGACTCTGTGGTGGTAAAACAACTGGCAGATTGGGATTAGTGACTTTTAAAGATTTATTCATGAAACCAATGGCGGTTACCTATAACACTAATTCTTACTAGAAATATAAACTAATGATAATGTACTCCTCTGCATTTGCAGTCAAAAACGAAATAGTGTACAGTCCAAAATTTATGCCACTGATGTTCAGCTGTCTATGCATTTTCTCCATAAAAACAACAAACATAATTAAATATAAAACAAAATCAGTGACAAAGCTTTTGTTGTCCATGTTGTTTACAATCTTGTTAGTTATGTGCCATTGATATGGAACAGTAATTTCTAACGCCATTACTGACAGTCTGATAATATATTGTTAATTGTTGTTTCAGTGATTCTTGAAAATATGGACAAAATGGGTTTTAATTTTCCCCAATTTTGTTTTTTTATTATTTCTCAACCTTATGTATGTAAATATGACTAATAATGTTTTGGAAATGTAAAGATGCTAAGGTGCAGTTGGAACTTTTTTAAAAAATTACATTTTTAATTGACCTTACCCAGAACTTTGTCATCACCATGTGACAAAAATAAATATAAAAGTATTTTTTAAATACCCTATTAGTGATATTTTTACTCAGTTTTACAGACAAATGCTTCTCAAGAAACAAAAGAAATATTTAAAACAAAAAACAACAAAAAAGTCCATCTGACGGAGTTGACACAGAACTGAAGGTGGAGACAAACCAGTGAGTAAAAAGAAAAGCTTGATACATGTGAAGTAATGCAATTTATGTAGAATAAATTAAAATGAATTAATTGCACATTTAAGTGAGATTTGACAACAATTTCACTGAAAGAGTCAGAAAAACTCTGATGGAGTTGACAAAAAGCCAAACTACCTCAATTTATATGATGTTATTCTGAAGGAGGTCATATTGTAGCTCATCAGGTTCATGAAATCTTTACAATTTACCAGAATTAAGCTTTTATTTCACAAAATTTTATCAAAGTTTTGTAAATTGTCAGTTATGGTGTTGACACATCATGGTTGTGACAAGCAACTTAGGAATAAAACAGAAGAAAAAACTAAAGAATAAACTAACCAGAGCTAACTAGCCCTCTTAGCAAAGGAAGAGAAAAGACGACATCATGGGGTCCTCAGAAGTTCTGGTGCCCCCCAATAATGCCTGATTTTTTTACATTCTTTTCATGTCTGACGGTGTTGACGAAAACTAGGGACAAGTTTCAACGGAGTTGGAAAATATCTAAAAATTATTTTTAATTCAATTTATCGATACTTTTATAATTATTTATATGACTACTTATACTTAATTGCCACAATATATAATTTTAGTATTTCTTTAATTGTTTTAAACTATAAGAATGTATTGAGTTCTGCTCCTGGACAAGGGCTTTTACAGGCATCATCCACTGACTACAATGTTTAAAATAAAAACATATTCAGCAAAGACCAGAAAAATATACATTGTTGTGCTCTCACGACCCAGGTTAGTTTAGTCAGATATTTGAAAAAATTATATTTTGTGTATATTTTATTCAAATTTTGTGCTTTATTTATAGGACCTGTTTTGTCCCTATTCTCAAGAATCTGAGTCTTTCCCAACAGTTTTTCAGAATTTCAGAATTTGCAAAGTCCCCAGCTTTAAAAATTGGAGTGACTTTGGCAATTTGATGCCAAAAATTTTATGTGGAAATGATCTTGTTGTGAATGACAAGTTATAGATAAATGTCAACGGATCTCTCTTGACTAATGTCATATTTTTTAATTAATAAAATGAAAAGTAAAATACTTTTTGCATTTTTTAATACATAAGGTCAGAGTTGCAACACCATGTTACAACTCACCATTATGTACACAAAATAGTCTTTTTTTCCCAAAGCACCAAGCTTTCACTTCATAGATTCATAGACGCTCTTCAGTCGTCAGTGAGGCTGATGATTGAAAGGCCTTTGAAGTCGCAGGTTTCAGGAAGACACCAGGAGGTTTTTGCTGAAACAAAGTCCTACTGCATTGTATATTGAGCTTAAAATGCAATAAGAAGAAACAGGACAAACTTTTACAGACTGTTCTTCAACTGATCAAAACTTTAAGATTATAACACAGAATTAAAAGTGAGTTAAAAATATTTCCATCTGGCTGATTGAAAAGTTGCTCCATGTGGTGGTGAAGATGGCATCACAAGAAAATCTGTTCCAGATTTCTGTTCCAGCTCCATTATTGTAAATCTCTTCTGAAATCCAGGAGAGATCCTCCAATTGAATTGGAGGATTTAGATGCAGGAAGGGCCTCCTATAAGAACTCATACTGAGTGACAAACTGCATTCTCAACAAAGAAAAAAACTTTCTCTTATCTTTTATTGTTCCATGTTTTACTCTCCCTTGTAAAGTCAAAACTGGCAAGTTTGTGGTGGGAAGAAGTTATATCCTACAAATATATTTCTTTTGTTTTTTAAACTCTTTTCTTGCAGATTTCATATTATGATATTTTTCTGTACCAGCATTAAGAATTTATGCTGATACATAAATCATTAGATCATTTTTTCACTTTTATCTGTCCTCTTGTCTTCATCAGAGACGGGCGCATTCTAATAAATCATAAATCTTCATCATTAAATATTTAAATTACAAAGATTTTTATCCATTGACAATAATGATAAATACAATTGTAATATTATTTAACACTCCGGTAACACTTTATTTGAAGGGGGGTGAATAAGACTGTCATAAACATGACATAACACCTGTCATGAACATGAATAAGCCTTCATGAATATTTATGACTGTTGTCATAAAGCGTCATTTGGTAAATTATGACACTTTTAATACAAAGTTGACATTATTCAAAATGTCTTTGTTATGACATCTTGACATTAACCAATAAATCATTACTGTTTAAACTTTACCTTTAATAACATAAAGTTACCTAATTTGTAAAGTGCAATCAGTAATACTTTTATAACAAATTTATATCAGTAATGATTTTTTAGTTAATGTAAAGTTGTCAAAACAAAGACATTTTGAATAATGTCAACTTTGTATTAAAAGTGTCATAATTTACCGAATGACGCTTTATGACAACAGTCATAAATATTCATGAAGGCTTATTCAACCCCCTTCAAATAAAGTGTTACCAACACTCCAAGTCTCCAGGTTTATTCAATGTAAAAAGTATGTTTGAATCATGTAGGTTAGCATTCTCATTAATGAATCTGGTTTAGACAGCTGAATAAAACGGCGGTCCGTTGTTTCAGAATTAAATGCTCCACACAAGCAGCTTCACAACAACTAAAAATAAAAGTATCTGTTTTCATATACGCTATAAAACGCCTAAGTGGTTATGATCACTGACAAGAAGATGCTTTATTGACCAATAGGACTCTCGGTGATGGAGGGAACTCAAGAAATGAACTCTTGATCAGATTAGAAGGGAAAAATATAAGACAGGCGTGTTTTCTCCGTAAAATTCAATCTCAGGTCTCCGAGGGCGACAAGGAAAAATCTGATGATGGCATTATGAGCCAGGCCTGCTATTGAATTCTGCCTAACCTCCCCATCCTGTGTGCAGGAGCAGGAGGGGCTGCTGACGGCAGCAGGCGGCTCCAGGATCGGGCTGCTGAGGCCAATAAAAGGAGGCTGGAGTCCTCACTTCATCCCAAACAGATCAGAGACTCAGCGGCAACTTCAACTCGGACAGCGCCACCTGGAGGACAGACCGATCAAAGAAAGGTAGGCGCGCTTTTTTTTGCCAACACTGTTTCTGATGAAGCGGAGCTTTTATTCAGTCTTTATTCTGTTTCTGACTCAGATGCAGAGGTGCTTCGGCGTTTTTTGCGTGACGCTCATCTTTTGCGCAACCCTCTCTGAGACCATCGGCCTAGTTATTGCGGTAAGTTTCTGCGCCTCTAACGCAACTTTGTCCATTTGACACAATAGCTTCACGTTACCAGTTTATGTTAAGCTTTAGTTCAAAGTCTAGACATTTTAAACTAATCAAATCTGGATTAAATATTTGAACATAGACATATCACAGCTCACCTCTGTTTGTTAAAACCACTCATGGATGCTCTGTGACTGTTTTTTTTTTCTTTCTTTTTTGTCCTTTGGGATTCTCACAACAAATATATTTAATTGTAACATTTTTCTTTTCATACAGGCATCAATGAATTTAGAAGTACATTTGAGTATTTAAATACACGACTAAACCACTGATAATTTTTGCAAAATATTTGTTAATTTCATTGTATTAGTAGAAGGTGAAGTTGACGAATTATATAGCTTTAATCATTTACCCATTATAAACTTACAAATGGCTGCATAATAACGTCTTATTTTTTCCACCCATTTCTCAAATTTATTTGTTCATGTGTGACATTCAAGACAGCCAATTCCAACTCAGCTTTAACAAACATTACAAGATGGTTACGGCTTCTGTTAGTAAAAACCTGAATTGAATCAAAGCTGTAGCTCCGTAACCTCATAGTTGCATGTTTAAATGATTGATATTATGTGAATTATGAAGTAAATATTAAACTTTGCATAAATTGATATTTGGAGGATGTTATTTATTTTTTTACATTATTTTAAACATTAAAAGAAAATCAAACCAGATCTAATTTTCTTCTGATCTGTGTCTTAACACAGAAAAGAAAAACAGTTGTTTTTCAATGTAATATTTAATACATTGTAAAATGTTTTTTAGATTCCTTAAAAGCCGTGAAAGAAACAAATTTCCAGAACTTACAAATGAAGACAAAACTGTGAAACACAGCAATGTTAAAATACAGCTGTGAAAATTTAGGACTCACTTAGCAAAGGTGACATTTAGCACAATAATATTTGGCTGGACAATAAATCAATAATAATATGTCTGATACAATATTCAATATTCAACATATAGCTAAGCACATGTTGAATATTGGTTTCAACCACTTTGTGGTTGAAACCTGTAAGTTGCGCAGCAGCAGTTGAAGGTTTCACCCTCGTGCTTCTTAACTACTTTTAAATAAACACTGGGGAAGAGTGAAAACTGTGGATCAAACAGAAAAGGTCACTCCACCAGTCTGATAGTAATACTAATATTTAAAACAAAAATACAATCAATAATTACCAATATCCAAAGATCTAAAATGCTCATATTTCAGCCATTGTCATGCAGACTGAGGTGTAACAAAAAACAAAAACAAAAACTTGTTCAGCTTATGTACAGTATATTATTAAAAAAGTGGTAAATTTTCCTTTCTTATTATTAATATGGTGTCACACCCCTAATAACAATAAGGGTATATGCTATACAACAGATACTAATATCCATATTGTTGTTTTACTTTTGGAAGTATTCCATTCCTTCTGATATCTGGGGTATAGAGTTCAAATCAGCATCATGTCATCTGCTATTGTTAGAGAAATAAAACGACAAGAAAACGTCTGAATGAGTTTGTCCTGCTGTGTCTTTGGAACCAGCAGGCGAAGGAGAAGCGTGGCTGGACTCTGAACAGTGCTGGCTACCTGTTAGGTCCTCGTAAGTAAGACTGCACACACCCCATGAGACAGACAGACACACACACACACACCACCTCACACCCATCCGCTATTCTTTGTTCTCCCTGAAAATGTTGCTCATTTAACAAAGTGCACAAAAGAGCTGATGGAGCTCATCTTTGTGTTGATGTGTTTCTTTGTCTGTGTCCGTCTTCTCTGTGTATCAGCTAATGCAGTGTAATTTGAAGATGACTTCATTAGCTTCAGAGGACACATTAAGTTAACAATGGGTGTCCAGATCTGTGTGCGTGCGTGCGTGCGTGTGTTGTGTGTGTGTGGAGCCCAGGTAAAGGTTGCTCCTGCCTCATCCTGTGTTTCAGGTCGTATTGATCACCTAATTCAGATAAAGGATTCCCCCAGTGCCAGAGGCAGAGACGAGCTGGTCACTCAATGTAAGATAGAAACATACGGCCGCTGCAGGGCCTTGGCACCAGGACAGGAATTGCTCTTTGTTAACATCTCTTTTTTAAGCTGCTTCTGTTGTCCATCAGAGGACACATCCTCATGCCGTTCTCTCATGCCGCCATTCTTCTCCATTCCAATGGTGCATTTTTGTAGATGCGTTAAACAGAAGGAATTGAGTGGAACATGAATAAGATTGAATCACAAAAAAAAAAATCTGTAAAACCTCCTGTAAATCTTATAGTCTGATTATATGTTCTTCTAGACTGTTACAACAAGTGGTTTCAGATTTGGAAAAAAGCAATAATTAAGTAATAGCATCATTTTGGAGAGGACGAAGCAGGTAAATTTGAATGGCAGTCATTATTTTCCATTGATATCACTTCAGATTGGGGCTCATGTCACTTACAGCAAAACTGATTAAGACCCAGACCAGTGATGTTGGAAACATCCTGAAAAATACTGCAGAAAATGGGAATTGAAGAATCTTTAAAAAAAAGACCTGGATTAAATAAATACACATCATTTATAAACAGGAAGGATGTAAGTGCAATATCACCATTCCCACGGAAATAATAATAGTAATAAATCATCATCTGACTCCCAGCAAAACCCAACACACAAAAATCATGACACCACTGTCTTCTGATTGTCCTTATATCTGGGTTGTATATTTTCTTGCAAAATTCTGCAAAATATTCTATACCCAGATATAAAATCTCAGTAACCATAAATACATACCTTACATTATGCTGTTTTTTTTTGTTATTGTGTTTTCTTTTTTACATTTATGTCTATCAGTATTTTTTGTAGTAACTGACATTTTAAGATACCAAACAGCAGTCTGTCTCCTAATGCAAAACTTTTCTCATTGTGGCTTCTTGCATATTTTTATTAACACACATAAATATGTATTTTTTAGTTAAACTAAGTAAATTCATCCACAGACAAAACTAATTTAAACATGAATTTAAGCATCTATAAAGAATGACCTGATTTGGNCAAATTTCATGCTTTATCCATAGGACCTGTTTTGTCCCTATTCTCAAGAATCACTGATATGTTTAATTTTATGGCATTTCCATCCACAGTGGATGTAATCAAACATTAAAAAAATAAATGCTGTCAATTATAATAACAATAACAATGATTTTTTTACAAGACATTTTAATGAATACAAGTTAATGAGGAAGCATGTTTTAGCTGCACTTTAAGTGTCACGAAATTAGACTGCTCGTTGGAATACAACAAACAAATACAACAAACGATGCTTTGTCTCCCTCTAGTGGGTTCTTTAGGTGGCACATTGGTGGGCTCATGAAAAACTCAGTTTAATTTTTTTTTCTTTTTTCTTTACAATTTTTAACATTCAGTCTTTTAGTTATTATACCTAACTCATTTTTGGCTTTTCATATTTTGGAGTGCTATACTATGTTAACCCGAAAGAGTAATTTTTACGTTACTAAAAATAATCAAAGCAACTAATAATTTTGTTTAAAATTAAATCAAGTTAACGACGCACGTTTAATAGTTATCCATTGTTTGTTTGGCTACACCTGCTTGTCTCCAGAGTGAAAACAGGTGCACTTCTACATTGTGGAAATATGCTGCGTTCAAGTGCAAAAAGAAAAAATGTTGAGATGGCTACTGTGAAATACATTACAACTGTGTCCAAATAACACTTTGTGACTGACACAATTTTAGGGAGTTGCCGCAGAGAATACCCACTTCCGAAATTCTTATCTTTATAAAACAAACTATGTCCTGGGAGGGAGACAAATGACAAATTGTTTTCTTTTTTGTTTAATCTAGCGGGATACATGGCTGAATTTAAAATGGCATAAGTTTTTGAATTTTTGGAAATTTTGGAAATTTCCACTCTGTTTTTTTTTTTTTTTTTTTTTTTTTTACTCAAACGTTTGATGTGTAAAATAAAGAATACGCGTTTCGGAAGTTGAGTGTCGGAGTTTACGTGAACGCAGCACGGTCTGGTGCGTGCACTCTGCTGACGAGCCGTTGCTTGTGGAAACAGCTGGTGGTTTCTGTCAGCGAACTCCGCTCGGGATTGAAAGCGACATTAGCGAGAATAAAAGTTAAAATTAGACTTGAAACTGAATGAATCCGGTCCGGGCTGAGTCTGCGCACCTGTTCCGAGTGAAACCGGGAGATGTCATCTTGTGAGACCCACTTTAAATCCGGCAGTTGGAGTCAATTAACGACCTAGCTTGTTAGCGGCAGACCACCGACGCAGTTTGCCAAACTGCTGCTGCTGCTGCTAACCTCGGCTAGCCCCCACCTCCTCACCTCTGTAACAGTTACAAGCGGGGGTTCTGTCAAAGGAGAAAAGCTACCAGCTGTTGAGTTTCTTAGCGGTCCAGAAGCAGGCTTTTAGCTTGTTTCCAGTATGGCTCATATTCATTATAAGTTTTCCTCCAAACTCAGCTACGACACGGTGGTTTTTGATGGGCCGAACATCTCGCTGACTGACTTGAAGAAGCAGATTATGGGCAGGGAGAAGCTCAGAGCCGGGGACTGCGACCTGCAGATCATAAACGCACAAACCAAAGAAGGTAAATAAATAAAACGAATTAAAAAAAATGCATGTTATTGTAAGCTTGATATGCTTTATTGTTGCCATAACGGTTAAAATGCAGGTGGACGGTTTAAAGTTTGAAAGAAAACACGTGGTCCGGCATTGACAGCTGTCTAATAGGAGCTGGCTTCCCGTTACCTCTGTTTTCAGGTTGACTGGGGGCTCCAGAATAGTCGCACCGGGACAAAAGAGGTGTAATGAATGGGCAAACATTCCTGCTGCATTCACGCCTCATGCCCCTTAATTAAACCGCCTGACGTGGGTGGATCAGTGGTGTCAGCGCTGCTATCCTGCAGGAGATGTTGGTTTAAAAATAGCAAAGGTCGAGGGGTGGAAAAGGCAGACACTACTCATGGCCAAAAGGCTTAAATGCAGCCACAGACTGTATGATTTAAGATAAAAACACAATGCAGAAGCAAACTGAGCAGTAGGCAGGCACACCCTTTAACTGGAGAGTCAGGAATTAAAATGATACAAAATGTCATATTTCATATTTTCTTTCTTTCAACTGCAAGCATCAGCATTGGGAGTTAATTTGGATTCTATGTGACACAATAGTATGAAGTGGAAAAGAAATGGGTAACGATTGTAAAAGACGTTTAAAAGCCTTCCACTTTTAAAGTTTATCTTTATAAAATCCTTGTTATGAGGAGCAAGCTACGGAAAAGATGAAGGGGCTTGGTTACTTTACGTTTTGAAAGCCACTCCGTACTCAGGAATCAACAGGGCAGTATAATGAAGGGTGTTTGTGTCCTAAATACTTGTTTTTGTTTCATTATTTAAACCTTATCCCCATGTTTCTTCAGGTCGAGGGTATTGTTTCTGTGCGTTTCTTATATCTTTTTTTTTTTTTCTGTGACACACTTGGAAACAATAAGGTAGGACATAATCTTGCAAATCCAAATATTTTCTGAGTTGTATTCTAGTGCGATAACCCCTCTAATGTTTCAGAGTCTTACTTTTTTATCAGTTTCGATATGAATGTTTATATTGTATAACCCCCTAAAAAAAAATCTATTCCAAACAATTTACCATCACAACAACAAACATGTTTAGTGACGTTCCTGCCAGTGAAAAGCAATAGCAGTGTATTTCCACTTAAAAGAGGAGGAAAACCACTGTTTTGTCTAGTTTAACTTATTTATATGGAATATTGAGGCATGATGCATTGCTGCCTTGCAGTAAGAAGTCATGAGGACTTTCTGCATGTATGTGGGTTCTCTTGGGGTACTCCAGGTTTCTACCAAAGTCTAAAAAAAATGTTCTTGGCTTAATTGGCTACTCTAAATTGGTGACATGTCCAGGCTGTTCCTTCGCCCCTAAAAGCCGTACTGCATTAATTCATGCAAAAAGGAAACCCAATCAAGTATTGACTGTACGTAATATATAGTCATGTATACTTTTCAGTAAGTTGTAAAAAATTTGATAATTCTTTGGGCAATAATTATCAAAAATGACAATTTATCCCTGTATTAAACGAATTGGTATGAGTCTCACTTTGACTTCAATTGGTACAATAAATGACCCTTGTGATATTTTAATATATTTTGATATCTGTAGTTTCACCCAAATTACAATGATCAATGAAAGCAAGAGGTTTGGAGGGTGCCTGTAACCCTAGGCAACACAAATTGCCTTTACACAACTCTGTTTTTATATAATTTCATTTTTAATCTCAAACACCGAATTGCAGAAAGGAAACCTTAATATTGCAATTTTTTCCGTTTTAACCCTTTTTATATTGATGCTCTTTCACCCTTAGAGTTCACTGAAGATGGTGGTCACATCCCCAAAGGCTCCTCTGTCATAGTCAGGAGAATTCCCCTCATTGGAGTGAAGTCCAGCTCAAATAGCAAGACCAACCACAAGTATGTGTGCATTTGAATTTTCCTTACTGATGTTTACGTGCCTGCTGTAGAAGACAACACCCAGCCTTAGTGGTCCGAAACCCGCCTCTGGATGAGTAACGGTTGACTGCAAAAACTCTGATTCAACCGGTCTTACAACAGCGTAGAATGAGAAAAGATTCAAAAAAGTTTAGGTTAATCCAACGTATCAGAGTGAATTCAAACAGTACAACCGTCAGCGCTAAACATTTTCATTAGAAAATCCACTTCCAGTGTCTTGGTTGATTTCCCCAGACGTTTGTTTGTTTAGTTACACCTTAGTAAATGGGTTTTCTCAACAGACTTAAAGTTAGATAATTAAATGATTACAGCTAGGATTTATGGATCAGCTACGTTTGATAGCGTCAGCAGAAATGGTAATTATACAGTACACTGAGGCAGCTATTTAGGCTGCTTTGCTTAAGTGACTCAGGATATTGCTTAAACACTAATTAGCACAGCAGTTATTGCATCGGTGAATAAAACAAGTCTGATTTTTTTTTCCCAAGCTACTTTAAACTCTAGCTGTTTTATAGTTTTCATAGATCAGGTTCTAGTTGGAACAGACTGAGTCAGCGATAATGGCTGGTCTAATACGTTTTTATACTGACTACATCTATCTAAAGGAAATACTGTAAAGATTCAAAGGTAAATGGAAGTTGCATGTGGCAACATACTCTGTTTATTTAAAGCTTGATTATTAAAAAATAAAATAAGAGGTAATGGGTAAGCGTGAC